CTGGTTCTTGCTCCTCCTCGTCGTCGTCGTCGTCGTCGCCCTCCCCCCTCCTCCGCGAGCTTCACGCTCATGGATCGCACAGGGATCCAAGGTGCACCCTGGGCTCCGGGCCAACTGCCGTGCTCTCGCAGGGCCGTCCTTGTGGGCTCCTGTCGGCGCCTCGCCCCTCCCCAGGCGGGCCTGGGCCCCAGCGACCATCATGAAGACGGCTTCCGACGAACCGAAACAACTGCACGGATATGAAGGATCTCCGTCCTCTGAGCGGTGCCGTTCGGCCAGCGCGCGCGCGCTGGGGCTCGGCCCTGTTGGGCCTGCTCGCGCGCGTCGGCCGCGGCCTCCACCCGACGACCCCTCGCTTGCGCGGAGCGGGAGAACATGATTTCTCGGAGCTCCGCGCGGATTTCTCGGGCCCAGCGCATATCCAAGAAATCTGCGTGCAGCTCCGAGGAATTCTGTCTGCGTGCAGCTCCGAGGAATTCTGTCTGTGCAGCTTTTGGGCTCCTCCAGGTTCAGCAACATCGGGGTCGGACAGAGGCTCTGGTCAGCGTTCGGGTCGGTTGAGTCCCTCCAGGTGACGCCAGGGAGGGCCGAGTATAGACCGGATGCATTCTGGGCCTGGGGGCGCAGTTCCACAGCGGAATGGTCAGGTCAGTTCGGGCGGCACCTGTGGTACTCGAGCAATGCCCTCGGGACCCATCAGCGACCTGGCTTCTTTGCTGTTCCCTACAGGACGGAGCACTGGTTCCTGGGGATGGCCCTGGGGTCCAGGCCACCATTTTCTTCATGACCCGTTTCATTCGGGCCAATCCTCTCGTGTCTTTTTCAGGACATCGAGCAGTGAGCATGAGTAGACGGCATGGGGCACGACTGGCGGCTACTGCGACGGGGGTGGTGGTGGCAGCCATATGGTCCATGGATGGGAGGGGGCGGTTGCGTCAAGGGCGGTGGAAATGAAAGGCCTTGGAGAGAGGCTGACAAAGAGGAGGACTGTCCCGTTTAAGCGCGGCCTTCCAGGATGAGCCTGCCAAGGCAGGATCTCTGAGTCGGGCCGTCCAGCTATTTTTCCTTCCCCTTTTGGTGGCGTTCGCTCCTGTCCCTCCGGAGAAGGGACGGGCAGACGTGGGCAAAGGAGGATAGGAATGGGCCAGGCTGCCACGGTCATCCGTCGTGCAGATTTCTCTCCAGCTCGCGGCGCAGTCAGAGCTTTGCGTCGCCTGTATTCCGCCAGGAGCACTTGAACTGTTGCGGACCTGCTTATTGTGTTAGATTTTTTGTTGGTTTATATCATTTTAATATTAGTAGACCGGCCAGGGATGCGATCTCTGGTTTTGAATCTCCTGGTTGCCAAACTGACGGTGGTGATGCTGATGATGAGGATGGTGATGATGGCAATGGTGATGCTGCTGCTGCTAATCATGAGGTGGCTATTGATGGTGCTGGTTCTGTTGATGTCGACATTGATGGTGATGATGCTGGGGATGATATTGGTGACGTCGACGATGGTGATGGTGATAGAGAGATTGACGCTGATGTTGGTGATGGTGGTGACGACGATGGTGAATGTGATGATGGCACATTCGTGTTTTCAAACCGTATGCTTGCGCAGCTTGCCCTCAGGTGAAGTGCGGGAGGCCTTCCTGCATGCCTGGCGAGGGTACAAGCGCTACGCCTGGGGCCAAGACGAGCTGAAGCCCCTCTCCAAGACGGGCGCGGACACCTTCGGCAATGTCGGGACTTCTCGGGGGGCGATTGCGTTGGAGGGTGATTCTGCGCCCGCGGGCTTATTCAGAGCCTCCGACCCATATTTCCTCAGTGGCTTTGGACTGTGGTCGGGGGACCCCCGTGGACCCCCCAGGGAACGGTCAGGAAGTTGGGCGTGTGGCTTCGGTCGACTCGACGAGCTATCTACGTCCTCCTTTTCAATCGTCATCGTCCCGAGCCTTTCCCCGCCTCCCGCCCCGCGGAGCGGAGCAACAGTTTATCCACTCGCAAGGCAAACCGTGTCGCCAGGGCCGCCGCGGCGACACGCTAAGCGAAACTTCTGGACCTTGGACCTTCCGCTTGGCCGAACATAGGGGGTGGGTGCTCTCCATGTGCAAATCCTGGTGTCGGCAAGCGTGCACCGCGTCCAAGCGGACTTCGGGTTCTGGGCGTGCCATGGGGGAAAGGAGGAAGAGGATGGGGAGAGGGTAGGCAGAGGAAAAGACGGAGGAGGAGGACGACGAGGAGGAGTAGCAGGAGGGGAGGAGGAGGCGGAGGAAAGCCATTCTGAACCTCAGACGCAGTAGCGAGGTTGCTACGTTCCCCTAACAGTGCTTGCGCTTAGGGGTTGTTACTTATCTTTCTGGAATTTGGGCCTGGGTGCCAGTCTGGCAGTTCCGTGCTTGCCGTCGCCGCCCCGTCGCCACCTCGTCGCCGCCCGTCGTTTGGGCCTCGGTGGCGGTGTTGCGGCTACGCTGCCGCCGTCGCCGCCCCGTCGCCGCCTCGTCGCCACCCGTCGTCTGGGCCTGGGTGGCGGTGTTGCGGCTGTGTGCTCGCCTTCGCCGCCCTGCCGCCGCCCCGTCGCAGCACTTCGTAGATTCCGTGTTCGAGAGAGTAATTGGGATCTATCCCCCCCCGGGATTATCGGGCTGGCCTCGTGTACAGCAGTTTGCACGTGATTCTGCCACATCGTTTTGGTTATGAATGGATCCATACCATCACGGCCAAACCTGGCCCCCCCCCCCTCATCCTTGCCAAACAATACTATGCCCGCGGACCCGTGTATGACAAGTCTCCAGGTGTTAAGATAGTTTTGCGAAGCATGTGGCAAAATCTACGCGCGCGTCGTCGCGCGCGCATGCTGAACATATAAGCAACCGCAGGTTTCGGAAGGATATTGAGATCGAGTGTCCCGAAACCATATGTGAATTATGGCGGTTTCGCACCACATTTTCTGGAACAGATCTGCGCTCGCTCTAGCGGACTGTTAGGACACCAATTTGGCCATCAAAGTGTACATCCAAAGCGTTCAACAAGGGCCTCTCGCGCGCGCATTTCGACAGCATTCGAACACTTTTGCGCGCGTGCTGGGGAGGGGGGCGCACGATTCTTGTCAAACAATACCATGCGGGTCACTCGCGCGCGTAGGTTGCGCGCGCATGTCGAAATCCTTCCAAAACTTTCATCACCGACGCGTGGACACCATCATCGTCATTTGCGTGATCCGCATCGGCGCCGATATTGGCGTTGCCGTCGTCAGTGTCATCATAGTCACCAGCATCGCTAGTATCATATCCTGTCTGCCGTTGTCGACGTCCCCATGATACCGCGCCCGCCCAAGCCATCGACTCGCACCGAAACGCCCGCGCGTCGGCGTGGCCTGCGAGCTGCGCTGGAAAGTTTCCATTGGTCAGCGCCACGGCGGCCGCGTCGGTCGCGCCAGACTGGCCGCTCTTCGCGCGCTAGCGCGGCCGCGGCGATGTGCCAACCAGCGCCAAACAGTCATCGCAGTCGCCGCCGCATGGGTTTTGCAAACGAAGTTGCGGGTGGGTGGGTGGGATGATTGCGCGAGCAGTGTTGTAGACAGTTTTAGGTCCAGCAGGGTGAATTGCACCACGTAGATTGCACCACATCGGTTGCACTACATATATGGCACATCGTAGATTGCACGACATAGACGGCACCGCATGTGAATGGCACCACATAAGTTTCGCACCACATGTATTGCACCACGTCCATAACTCTCCGTACATTGCGCAACATATATTGCACAACATCGGCCGCACCACTTAGGTTGCCCTGCGTGGTTTACACAAATGCTGCACAGCGATTGGACGACATATAGTGCACAGCCTCGATTGCAGAACACAGGTTGCATTACCTAGAGTGCACCACGTGGATGGCACCACATATATTGATCCATATAGGTTGCACAGCGTAGATTACTAGAGAGACACTGTTTGGGGCCCACGCTGCCGAGCATTCCTCAGCAAACGGGGTAGAAGAGGACGATGGCGAGAAGAGGTGTGTGCTCTTTGTTGACAGCCTGGACCATCAATGCGCTCACAGGCATGTATGTGCCCTGCAACCTCCTCGTCTGCGCTGGAAGCTGCGCAGTGGCTTTGCGCTCTTCTCCTTCTGCTTGCTCGGGTCTTGAGTCACAGTTTTTGAAGGCGAGGGCACCATAAATCTTCCATCTTCGCGCGCGTGGAAACAGACAGCGTTCTACATTGTCGATCGTAGCATCTGTCGGGATAGTTGTGTTGTGGCCATCGGGGGTGGCGGCGATTCCGGGTCCGATGTCGCGCTTTCACAGCCGAGCAGCGCCCGCATCCGGAAAGCATCAATTCACCACCAGTCTGGAGGGCCTTGGGATGCCGGGGGTCCAGCACACAGCGTCGTCTTTCGCGCAGGCGCGTCTCTGCGAGACCTCGGCCCACCACGCAGGAGGAGGGGATACATGCGCAAACCCTAGGCGGGCCCAGGAAAAGGGAACACAAGGATAATAGGGAGGACGAGGAGTCGCCAGAGAGCAAGGGTGCTGGGCAGACTGCGTGCAGGTGGTGAAGGGATGCAATATCGGGAATCTGGTGGCAGGCGGGGCGAGGAGTACAGTGACCAGAGGGCAAAGGGTCCGATGCGGCGGACGACGACTGGCCAGAATTATTCTTCCAAGCAAGGTGAGATCGAATGGGTGAATCTCATTTTGAACGGATGGACGGCTTGGAGCACCCTGGTGAAGAGCTGGTGGCTGTGGTCGTTGGGTGTCTTTGGCTCGTCAGACCAAGCGGCGTAGGCAGGCTCTATTAAATCCGGAAGTTGAAACGGTCACATGGGGGGAAAGACGAACAGTTTTTGACACGCTGGCGCTGCTCGGCGACATCATCCCCGAATACACGGCAAACGGGTAAACATGGCTTTTCATAATTTTGCAGGTGGACCTTTAGAGTGGCGGCGGGAGGCTTCATCAGATACAGTGTTACACTGTTCTGGGATATTCCCGTCTACCCACCCGCGAGGATGATTATTCTGGACTCCCTTACCACATTGAAGCTTCTTGGGCTGGAGGAGGAGCACGGCCCCCACTTTTCCGTCCGCTCTGCACCGCGCCATCTCTTTTGTTACGGTGTCCTCATGCAGTCCTCTCTGCCCCCTACACCTGGTTGGCTGAACGGGTCGTGCTCTGTGGTTGCGTTGTGGTCCAACCTGGCTCGCCGCAGTTAGTAGGTTTGCCACCGGTCAGAACTTTATTTTCCTGGAGACGCTAAAGCAACGTGCCAGTTTTTCCGTCTCCTGTGTGTCGATTGACGGTGGACGAAGATCTTCTGGATAACATCGTGCAATGCTTTTATGGAGGCTTTCTGCTGCGTACTTTGCACCCGCATGAGCTAGTTCAAGCTCCTCCCACAACCTCGTCCCCTCCCCTCTCTCAGTCTATCTCAATATCCACCCTCTCGCAGGTCGAAGTCAGAACAGGTCTTTTGGGGACCTTGTCTACTTTGTCCTTCGATGCTATGCTTGATAGATTTCCATGATCTTTTTTTGTCTTGCTTCGGATGCTTATTGTACCCTGCGTTCTCGTGGCAGTGATGCTTTCTGTGCGCCCTTTTGCAGCCACGTATCTGATTCACTGCATCGCATTTCGCTGTTGTTTGTCCCTCTTGATCTCCTTCGTCGGCGACACGTCGTCAGTAGTTTTGGGCGCACGCCCCACGGCTGCCGCAGCAAAGCATCACGCCTTCGTATGGAATGCACGTGCGTTGCCACCGGCAGGGACAGTTGCGCGCGCACCGACGCACGTTATTGGTTTGTTCGCTGATAAATGCATCTGTGTATGTATGTCTGCATGCATGTCTGTCTGCCTGCCTGTCTGTCTGTATGTATGTATTTATGTATGTACGTACGTACTTATACATCTACCCGGGGAAGGAAATCGGGGCCCGGAAACCACGGCCTCGAACCCCCAATCTGGGTCCACCCCCCCCTGGGGCCTCCTCGGCCGCTCCCCGGCCGCTCAAGACAGCCCTTGGGACGCTCCAAGAGCGCCCACGATGGCTTCCAGACTGCCCAAGAGGTTGCCAAGAGCACCCGAAAGCGCCACAAAGGGGCCCCAGGACTGGTCAAGATGACTTCCCAGTGCCCTAGATGGTTCCAAGACGGCCCAAGAGGCCCCGAAAACGCCCCAAGAGGCCCCAAAGAGGACCCCCACGAAGCAAAAATCGGCACATTCCCTTCGGAAAACGTACATTTTTAGCATATTCGCTTGTTTGGTCTCGAGAGCGTCCAAGACGTCCCATGAAGCCCCCTAGATCCTCCCAAGTCGGCCCTGTATGTATGTATGTATGCCTGCATGCATTTATGTATGTACGCATGTATGCATGCCTGCATGCATGTATGCATGCATGTATGCATCTATGTATGTACGTATGTACGTACGTATGTATGTGTGTGTATGCATGTATGTATGTGTATATGTATATAAATACATGTTTATGTATATGTATATAAATATATGTTTATGTATATGTTTATATACATACATATATATGCATATGCATATGCATATGTATATGTATATGTATATGTATATGTATATGTATATGTATATGTATATGTATATGTATATGTATATGTATATGTACATATATATGTATATGTATATGCATATGTATATGTATGCATGCATGTATGTATGCATGCATGCAGGTATAAATGTGTATGTATATATGTATATATGTATGTGTATGTGTATGTGTAGGTGTAGGTGTAGGTGTATGTGTATGTGTATGTGTATGTATGTATGTATACAGGTATGTCTGTATGTATTCATGTCTGTATGTCTGTATGCCTGTATGTCTGTATGTCTGTATGTCTGTATGTCTGTATGCCTGTATGTCTGTATGTCTGTATGTCTGTATGTCTGTATGTCTGTATGTCTGTATGTCTGTATGTCTGCATGTCTGTATGTATGTATGTATGTATGTATGTATGTATGTATGTATGTATGTATGTATGTATGTATGTATGTATGTATGTATGTATATATATGCATGCATGCATGCATGCATGTATGTATGCATGTATGCATGTATGTATGCATGTATGCATGTATGCATGTATGCATGTATGTATGCATGCATGTATTATGTATGCATGTATGTATGTATGTATGTATGTATGTATGTATGCAGACATATATGTATATATGTATGTATGCATGCATGTATGTATGTATGTACGTATGTATGTATGCATGTATGTATGTATGTATGTATATATGTATGTAGGTGTGTATGTATGTACGTATGTATGTATGTATGTCTGTCTGTCTGTCTGTCTGTCTGTATGTATGTATGTATGTATGTATGTATGTATGCAGGTATATATATATAGGTATGTTTGTATGTATATGTTTACACTAACATGGAAGAACACGCGGCTTCGAACATGGCTATGGACAAGTAAGAATGCGCGGAGAGCGGGGCTCCGAAGCGAAAACAGCATTGGGAACACGGCCGTTGAGTGCACGGTGGGAGCGAGAATGATCGGCAGAGAAAGCGCATCCTGAGCGCGACGGTGGGGTGGGGTGGGGCAAGCAAGCAGAAGGGAAACACATGGCGTGCAAAATCTTGGACGACGGCGCAATCGGTTCCGTCCTCTTCGCCTCCTCCTCCTCCTCCTCCTCCTCCTCCTCCTCTTCCTTCGTTAGTCTTGCTCTCTTTTTCGCCGCGTGCGACTTGGAGCCGCGACCGCCGCGGGGTGGTGGTGTTGAGGGGACGCCCGATGGTGGTGTGGCTGGCAGGTGGGGCGGCAGGCTGGATTCGAATAGAAGCGAGTCCAGGCTTTCCAGAGGAGGGGTATTGTCAGTAGTAGATAAGTAGACAGGTCGGGAGGAAATGGCGGGTAATATTTCGTAGTTGATCGCTTGCAGCTGGTAGCGATTAGCTAGCACTGAGTTGCTCGTACTTCGAAGTTCGCAGTTTGTGCTTAGTAGTTGTCTAGCAAGCGGGGGTCCGTCTCCGTCATTTTGTGGCCCTTCAGGGCCTCATGGCTACTTGTGATTCTGCAGGGTCCGTCAGGATTTTTCAGGATTCCACACGAGTGCTCAGGACCCCTCGAGATCCCCCACCATGTCTTCAGATTTCGCAAGGTTCTGCAGGCTGCCTAATGCTCCCCTCAGAAATAATCCGAATTGTTAGGGGAGTCTTGAGGACTCCTTAGGATGCATCACCAGTCCTCAGGATCCCACAGAACTTGTCAGGATCCTTTATTCGGCGGCGGGCGAGGGGGGTACGTGAGAAGGAGAAGGCCTTCTCAGAAGGTTTGGAGGTCCCCTGGCCTTCTGAGAAAATTCCTTCGCCTTCCCCGAAGACAAGCAACAACTTCTCAGAAGGCGCGAGGGCTTCTGAGAAATCCAGCCGCTTTCTGAGAAGGCCTTCTCCTTCTCTCTTCCCCCCTCGCTCGCCGCCTGCTTATGGTTTTCTTCAAACTTCCGCGAGCTTACTGAGGAATCCGCAAGGCACCACAGGATTCCTTAGGACGCCCCCGATTTCTTCGGACTCCCAGGGGCTTCTCCAGAACCCAATCGAGCAGCAGTCTTGATTCAGATGCATGCCTCCTAGCTGTGATCTGCTCGTTCCTATTGGAATCCTCTTGAGGAACAGTCGAGTATCAGAGGGATTACCCTGGCGGCGGGGATATGCTTGATTTTATAGTTGGGTATGACTGAGGAGCGGTTCTGATTCTGAGAAATGCCCTTGGCGGCCAGAGCCTGCTCCTTGTTCTCTCAGAAGTAGTGTTGGATTTTTTCTCTAGCGAGTCAGATCCGAAGGAGATGCTCAGATCAATTCCTGGGCGAATTTCCGTTCCTATTCAAATATCTGGTGGACCAGATGGATTCCTTTGGCCGTTGGGGCCACTTATTTTTTCCACTCATTCGGTGTGAGTTGGGGTCCTCGTTTTGAGTCAGCAGCGCGCGCGGCTCCCCCTTCTCCTTCTCCTCCTCCCCATCTGTCTTCTGTTCTCCCTTATGCCCATGTCGGCACACCCCTCACACGTTTCGTGGCTCCCTGTGGGGGCCCCACCTACGGTCTCAGAGGGCGCCGACCTATGGCAGCACCGCGCCCGGTTTTTCGCGTTGAACTGTTTTCTGACCGTCTTGGGGCCCGGCGAGGTCCCCCAGAGGAAGAAGGCAACAGCAGAATTTGACGACGACGACGAGAACATCTGTCGTTTTTTTCCACGACGCGAGAGGGTCTTGCCCCGCAGAGGAGTTCGAGCGGGCGGCCAAGTTTGTGGACAAGGAGCTGTCGTTCGACAGCGCGGACCGCGAGGCCGCCCTTTTCAGCCAACCCTGGCATTGCCCCCCCGACCACCAATCGGACATTCATCGCCGATAGGGGCCCGATAGCCCACCCCGCCCAGGAACGTGCGGGATCGCCATCGTGGGTCTATTGCCGATCTATCGGTGATGCATCGCCCATTCCAAGTCAATGTTCCTTCCTTCTGAGTCAGTCCCCCCTATCGTTTCTCCTCGGGACAACTCTCGAGTAGGGGATCGACTACAGAGTTGATTTACCCCAAAGTGGATTTTCCGTCGAGTCTACGAATGAATGTGTAGAGTGCTCTACGGAGCATCCTATGTTATCTTCGTAGACTCGACGAACAAATCAGTTTTGGGATACATCAATTATGTAATCGATCCCCTATTCGAAACTCGTGGGCGGGAAACAGGTCTGCATCCACGGCCCTGCGGCCCCCAGACCCCTGGGCCGCGACCCCATGGGATGCGGGGCGGTCCTGCGCGGATGCCCCTCCTCCTCCTCCTCCTCCTGCTGCTCTCCTCGTCCTCCTCTCCTCCTCTTCCTCTTCCCCCTCGTCGTCCTCCTCCTCCTCCTTCCGTCAATGGGGTAAAGCGTCCCTGGGATCGCGCCTCGGTATCCAGACCGCGAGCGCATGGCCATGGACATGCTCGCCGCTCGTGAGGTACTTCTCTCTCTCGCTCTCTCTTCTTGCGTTTTCGGCGTGTTCTTCCTCTTCTGGCAATCCTTGGACGCTGCGCAGATCTCCGTCTTCGAGATGACCATCCGCGCGCTCGGTGGCCTGCTGGGCGCGCACGCCCTCACAGGCCCTCCGCCGCCGCCGCTCGAACCGAGCCCGCGAGCATTGGACTGTACCGGGGCCCTATCGGGAGCCGCTTGGCCCGTCTGAGAGCTCTCTGGCTTCAAGATTGTTACCCCAGTGAGGCACCTTAGTAGCAGCAAGGGTGACGAGGCGGGTCGAAGAGTAGGTCGGCAACAAGGGATCGGGGTGAGAGCACGGGCACGGCCATGTGCATGCAGCTCATCGGGTTTTTTACGAGGGTTCATGGCTGTCTGGACCAACAGTGAAGCCGTTATTGAGGCGAGAGCACGATTCCAGAAACACATATGAGAAAGTCTCAGGCGAAACAGCTGCCAGACCTGGCGTCCTAGGGCTCCCCGTCCCCCCTCTGCGGGACTCTTCTGCGATCTTTCTGTACCACAGTCAGAAAGCTCAAGCGAAACGCAGGTGGGGAACAAAAGTCACCAAAGCGACTCGGAGCACCGCGGGAAGTCCGTGAGTTGGGGGTCTGGGCCCCTCAAAGAACATCACCCAGTATTCAAGATGGAGGGCTCAAAAGGGTCCCGAGGACACTCTGCGCAGAGCCTGGCGGCACGGCGGCGGAACCACCTGCGCGACCTTTGCAAGGCCGATCCTGCGCCTGGGATCGGCGGATTATGCCTTCCGGACCAAGCGAAAGGGCGTGCCTTCTCCTCCTTCTCCTCCTCCTCCTCCTTCTCTGCCTCCTCCTCCTCCGCCTCCTTTCCCTCCTCCTCCCTCCTCCTCCTCCTCCTCCTCCTCCTTCTCCTCCTCCTCCTTCTCCTCCTCCTTCTCCTCCTCCTCCTTCTCCTTCTCCTCCTCCTTCTTCTTCTTCTTCTTCTCCTTCTTCTTCTCCTCCTCCTCCTCCTCCACCTCCTCCTCTGATGGCGGGACTGCTACCGCAGCAGGGCAGCTGGAGGCCACCGACCCTGGGCCCAGGATGAGCCCTGCCAGAGTCGGTGGAGGTGCGCACTCGGCGCCCTCCTCTTGCACCCTGGCCCTCCGCCCCCAGCCGACGGGGCCCCCCGATTCCTGGCGACAGCTTTCCCGCCTCTCTGTGGGGTCCCAGGCACACTTGCGGATCGCTCCGGGGCACGACAGCAGCTCGAGAAGGCCGAGCGAAGGGGAAAGTTCTCTCACGGGGGCCAGCTGAGACCACGGCGGCTCCCCCGCCTGGCCCGAATATCCGCTGGAAGTCAGTCCCAGGAGGAGGGGGAGGAGGAGGAGGAGGAGGAGGAGGAGGAGGAGGAGGAGGAGGAGGAGGAGGAGGAGGAGGAGGAGGAGGAGGGAGGACATCCTGACTTTTATCTCGAGGCGGCTCCACCCGTGGCGTCGAGAAGACTCCAGGAGGCCCAGAAGAGGACGAAAAACGCAGGGAGGCCCGCCGCTGTGTTCATCGGCTGTAGGTCTTGGAAGCCCTCTCTCTCAGCAGGTTCGCCTGCGGTCCGATTTGTTGCGATTCGATTCGCCTGCTGGGCCCGCGGTTCCGATTCGATTCGATTCGCTGGTACTGTCTGGGGCCAGGCGGAGCCTGGTGCGGCGATCTGACTTTCGATTCGCTTCGGGACGGCTCGCTGGCGATCCGATTCTTTTCCGAGCCGGTCCGACTTCGCGAGCGATTCTGGAGTCGTCACGACACGAACCTGCCGTAGCTTCGGCCCGGAAGCCCTTCCCGATCTCCCTCGGTCATCGAGGGCTCGAGGGGTCGAGGGATCCTCTCCCAGCCAGAGCGGGCCCACCATCGGGCGACGAAGTCTGCCCATGTCCACTGCCCCCTGGCTGGGCCCTTCCTGGGCCCAGGAGCTGTGTACGCACGCGCCTCCTGGCCAAGCCAGGGGAGCGTGGCGTATACACCGCTGCTAGGTTCAGGATGGGCCCGGCCATGGAGCAGTTGACATGTACAGACTGCGAAGGCCTTCCGGCTGGTGCCGCCGACCCTGAAGGACGACGACGACGACGACGACGACGACGCCCGACGACGACGCTCGACGACGACGCCCGACGACGACGACGACGACGACGACGACGACGACGACGACGACGACGACGGCCATGGCCGCCACGGCCACAGCCGCGGCCGCGGCCACGGCCAGGGGCCACGGTCAGAGCCCCCTGCCAGGGCGCCGGGTGTTCCTGGAGCGCGCGGAGGAGCTCGGGCAGCGGCTGCTTCCGGCCCTCAACACCACCTCGGGGCTCCCGAGGCCGAGGCGCGCGCATCAGTCTGCCGCCCCACGCGCGCGCGTTGTCGTCGTCGTCGCCGTCGCCGTCGCCGTCGCCGCCGCCGCCGTCGTCGTCGTTGTCGTCCTCGTTGTCGTCGTCGTGGTCGTCGGCCATCGTTGTCACCAATGATTGTCGCCTCGTCGTCATCCTTCGTGGTCTGAGTTATTCTTGCGGCTCGTGATCGTCGCTTTCCGATCATCGTCGTCGTTTAATTGTCGTCTTTGCCATTTGGTCTTTGTCGTTGTCGCCGTGGTTTGTCGTCATTAGTTCTTCGTCGTCGCTGGTTAGTTGTGGTTGCCGTACTTTGTCGTCGTTCGTCACCGTTCCTGTTGTCGTTCCACTGTTGCCGTCTTCGTCGATACGTGTTGTCGTCGGTATTCGTCGTCGTCCTTTGTTCTTCGTAGTATTTTTCCGTTGCCGTCATCATTTATCGCTGTTGGTTCTGAGTCGTCGGTCTTCGTCATTGTCGTTGTGGTTATCTTTCTTCTTCTGCTGCAGATGGGCTTTCTGTTGCACTCGTGCCCGTGACCCTATCCAACACCCTCCTATGCCTTACCCTCGCACCCCTTCTGCTCTGTAGCCATTTTTGTTTAAGTGCCGTTTTGGCTCAAGCTTGTGCGCTGGTGGCCCCGCCGCCAGCGTCCTGATGCCCGGTGCGACAAGTCCCAGGAATCGCGTTATGGCACGATTTAGGATGGTCAGGACGCAACAGTCACATTGATTCGCTGCGCTGAAGTCCCAGGGATGGTGTTCTGTCTCGACTTAGGACTGTCAGGACGCAAGAATCGCGTTGATTCGCTGCGTGAAAATCCCCGAAATAGTGCGTTGGCACGATTGACGATTCTCAGCCGACTGTCTTCCAATGGAGCTTTTGCGGTGATGAAACATTAATTTTTGTAGGGACTAATGAAGCGGGAATGTGGAGGGAGGCGTTTTGGGTTTACACTGGTCCTCCTCCTCCTCCTCCTCCCCCTCCACCACGTCCTCCTCCGCCTCCTGTTCCTCCTCCTCCTCCTCCCCCATCTCCCCCTCCTCATCTCCCTCCTCTCGCCTCTGCGTGTGCTCGCGCGCGCATGGGTGTGCGTGCGTTCCCGACGTTGCTGTCGCTCCTCCTGCTGCTCTCGCAGGGCTCCTGCACGCCTCGCCAGCCCTCTTGGCGCAGCAGGTTGCGCCCCAGTCGCTGTGTGCGGCTCCCGCCCGCAGGTGGAACATTGCCCGCGGGGGCGCCCGAGCCACCAACGAGCCGACCATCCTGGCAGAGGCCGACCACAAGCCGTCGTCGACTTCGTCGCCGCCGCCGCCGCCATCGCCGCCGCCGCCGCCGTCTCCGCCTGCTTCGTCGCAGCCGCCGCCGCCATCGCCGCCGCCGCCGCCGCCGTCGCCATCTGCTTCGTCGCCGCCGCCGCCGCCGCCGTCGTCGCCGCCGCCGCCGTCGCCGCCGAGCCTCGTCCTGCCAGCCTCTCGGATCCGACGGCGCCCGCCTCGGCTGCGGCCGCTTCTCCCAGCTGCCCCGCCCAGAGGCTGGCAGTCTGCAGCTGGAGTTCCGCTACCTGTCGGCGCTCACCGGCGACGCGCGCTTCCGCCAGGCTTTCGGTGGGTCGGGCCCTCCTCCTCCTCCTCCTCCTCCTCCTCCTCCTCTTCTTCCTCCTCTCTCTTCTCCCGCTCCCCCTCCTCCCCCTCCTTCCCCTCCCCCTCCCCCTCCTCGCCCTCGTCCCCCTCCGCATCCTTCAGAGGAGGTCGAGCTGAAGCAGCGGTGTTGGCCTTCGGGGTGCCCGCTCGGCGCCACGGCGGGGCGCGGCTCGGGAGGCTGGTGCGCCTGGGCCCTGGGAGGGGCCTGGGGAGACCGATTTTGAGGTGCCGTCGTCTCAACTCGCGCTCCTCCGAGTTCCAGAACGTTCCAGAGCGTTCTGGGATCGCTTCGGAATGGCCGCGGCGCCCGAACCATCCTCCAGAACATTTCAAGGACGCCCGGTTTGTCCAGGTCCGATCCTGTCCTTGTCCTGGCTCCGTTTGAGTCGGCGGCGCCGCAAGCGGTATTTATTAACGGATGCGTTGGAAGCCCGTTGAGCGTTGCCGTTTTCGGGTTTCTTTTCGAAGAAGAAACGGTATAAACATAAACTGTGGCGGGTCCGCGCGGAATTCTTGGATCTGCGGTGGGCCCCCCGGTGGGCGCCTCCAGCGCCGCTTCCTGCGCGGCCTTCCAGCCACGGAGGGGGGTCCAGCGCCCACCAAAGAAAGCCGCGTCGACCTGCGACAGTTTCAGTCATGCAGTTTCTTCTTCTACCAGCAGCGGATACTCACTAACGAGTGCTTTAGACGCCTGCCGAAAGTTGCCACCTCAGGGCTTCTTTCATGCACTCGTTGTGCAGCACTGCCCGCGTCCAGGGTCGTGCTCGCTCGGTCGCTGGCCGACGCGCTTTCTGGTGGAGCTAGCTCCCGTCAGGGGGGGCACCGGCAGGACACCACTGGGCATCAGGGGCGACGATAGTCTAGGCCTCCTAGATGGAGTCGGAGTAGATGGGGTCGGAGGATCGCGCCGCATCGCCGATGCATCGCCGATTCGGCTCGATGTGCAGCCCGATTCTCTCCACGCCGACGTCGCCGATGCGTCGTCGACGTCGGCGGTGCATTGCCAATACATCGGCGATACATCGCCGATGTATTGGCGATGCGGCGCGATGCTCCGATCCCATCTCCTTGGAACCCATTTAGGAGGCGTCTAGATAGCGGGGGATATGTCGAGGGGGGAACGCATCGATCCCCAATCACGCAGCCTCGTAGTCCCGCGCAGGGGCGTGAGACTCCGCCCTCGGGGGAGCCTGCCGCCGATCGCTTGGCGAGGCGCTGCCGATGCCAGGTCGAGCTGCTCCTCCCCCGGGGCCAGTCGCCCCCGCTCGATCCCCTGTGATCACGAGCTGACAGCTGGCGGAGGAGGGGGAGGAGGGGGAGGGGGAGGAGGGGGAGGAGGGGGAGGAGGAGGAGGAGGAGGAGGAGGAGGAGGAGGAGGAGGAGGAGGAGGAGGAGGAGGAGGAGGAGGAGGAGGAGCCCTCTCATTTGCGACGCCCAGATCTCTCGGGGTGGACTTCTGGGGGAAGGGGGGGTGGGGCTGTGGATGTGTGGCGCTGTCGGGCGGGATGCCCCGCTCGAGCGGGAGCCCCTCCCTCGGGGTCCGACAGCTCGCGCCTGCACTTGCAGCGCTTTCGTCGCCTTGCCCTTCCCCATTCCTCCTCCCTCTATGTCCCAGCCCCATGGACCCCCCCCGCCTGGGTCCCCCCCCCATATTAGCCCCCCCGGGGGTCCGACACCTCGCGCCCGTACCTATAGCGCCTTCGTCGCCTCACCCTTCCCCATTCCCCCTCCCCTCTATGTCACAAAACCTCCGGGACCCCCCCACTCCCGGCCCCCCTCCGTATTTTCACTTGGAGGCCGCGACATGGTGGGGCGATAGAGGGGTGGGGGGCAGCGAGGGCTGCCGAAAAGGGGCCTCTTCGGGGTCCTCCAGGGGCCCTGTCGGGCCCAGAAGGGGGCATTTAATGCCCGAAAAGAGCACCCTTCTCCCCTCCTTTTTGTATCGCCCCCCCCCCCCCCCATGAATCCGCGCCCAATTCCTTCTTCACAGGGCGGCCCCGGCAGGAAAGGCGCAGGGCCGCGTCCTCCCGGAGCGCACGCCGCCCCGCCTCCTTCGGGCAGGCGCTGGCCGCGTGCCCGGGTGTTCCTGGGCCCCGATCCTTCCCCTGCAGGGGGCCGCGGGTGCCATGCTCGGAGGATGCCCGGTCCGCACGGAGGAAGTTCGTACGGAGTATTCCGTCTCCGTCTGGGCCTACTCTTAAGTCGGGCATGTCCCTCTACAAGGGGAAGATTCAAAAACAGTCCATCATTTCTGTATTTGTCGGCTATTTTTGTTTTTTTGTTTGGGCTATCTTTTATTTTTCCTCCGAAATCCGCCTGTAGGATGACACGCCCACCTAAGCCTACTCCGTCTGGACTTGTCTTCTCCTGATCGGATGCTAAGTCCGTGCGGGGTAAGTTAAGTCCGCGCGGAGTGCTCGGCCCCGACACGGCGGCGACGCCGGTTCGGAGTTCTGCGTCGTCCTTCCCGTTGTGCCTCGTTTTCTGGCCCTCGGGTGCGCTCTGCGTCGCCGCAGCTGGAAGCGGTTCAAAAAGCTGGCGGGACGGACGCTGGGCGGGGCATGGTGACAGATCTTGAGCCTTTTTGAACCGTGCCGCCGCCGCCGCACTGTGGCGGCGCGGGCGATCACAGTGTTGAGGGTCCTCTGGGAACCTCTTCGATCCGAGGCGGGGAGGTATCCTTCAGCACCGCCTGTGGCATCGGCCTTCGGGGACCTCGGCAGGCGGTGGGTATGCCCGCCTCGCATCTGGGGCCCCAGGACCCACAGAACAGCCCACGGCGCGCAATCCGCAGGTGGGATCGAGAGCCTCCAGGTAGGAGGAGGATGGGGGAGGAGCAGGAGGAGGAGGAGGAGATGGTTCAAGGTTGGGTGGTTCACGCGGTGTCAAAAAAACCATGCCAACGCCATCACTGCATAACCCTTCCGTAGCCGTTTCGGATCAAGCCGCCTGGGCTCCACGTCCGATCGGCTCGATCAGTGGCTCGTTGTTTGGGATGCAGAGCTGAACAGTGGCGAACATGACGGCCCTGGAGATTTCAGAGCCGAGCTCATCAGCTTCCCGAACAGTTGATTCGTCTTGGACTCGCAAGGACAAAAGATGGATTGTATGCTGTTCAACGTACGCTTCATGCTGCATTGTAGGCGCAGGAGTTTTAGCGTTATGCTTCATTTGGATTCTCAAGCGTGGTGCTGAAATACATGAAAAACACGATTTCCTTTTGTCTCCTGGTGCTGAACTGCCTATACAAGTTGATGTGGAAGGGCTAGACTTGACAATCAATGATACAGCGGTCATAACGTATTGCGAAGGCCTTACGGCCGGTGCCGCCGACCCTGTTCGCAATGCGCAGCAAGAGGCACGGGCTGTGGGGTGGTTTTGGGGAACGGGGAGAAGGACGAGAAGGTGGGGGAGGGAGGTGTCGTATCTGACCCGGGACTTCCCCGGGACTCCCCTGGGACCCCCCCCGGGACCCCCCCTACCCCTTCCGTCGGGGAAGGGAAAGGGAAGGGGCTTCCCTTCGACTCAATTACGACGTTGCTCAAGGTCGGTACGGGGGGGGGGCGTCGTATCTGACCCGGGGGGGGGTCGCTACCCCCCCCCCCTCCCGGCGGGGGAGGGATCAAAGGGAAGGGGCTTCCCTTCGACTCAATTACGAGGTTGCTCAAGGTCGGCTTGGCTGGAGCCCAGGGGAAGAGGAGTCCCAGGGGGGGGCGTCGTATCTGACCCGGGGGGGGGGTCGCTACCCCCCCCCCCTCCCGGCGGGGGAGGGATCAAAGGGAAGGGGCTTCCCTTCGACTGAATTACGACGTTGCTCAAGGTCGGTACGGGGGGGGGGGCGTCGTATCTGACCCGGGGGGGGGTCGCTACCCCCCCCCCTCCCGGCGGGGGAGGGATCAAAGGGAAGGGGCTTCCCTTCGACTCAATTACGACGTTGCTCAAGGTCGGCTTGGCTGGAGCCCAGGGGAAGAGGAGTCCCAGGGAAAGGGAAGGACAGAGACGACGAGTACAAAGAATAACGGAGATGACGGCTCGAACGGAGAAGCCCCTCACACACGCCGACAGGGTCGGCGGATTATGATAGGAAAGCAGGTGTTGCGTACACATGTGGTCATTGCTTACCAGAGTCGAGTCATGCGCAATGCATTGAATCAAAGACAACATCTGGTTTTGATGTGGAGGGTGATGGAGCTGAACTCGCAGTTCTGAAGGTGAAAGCACAGTGCCTCGACACATTTTCCGACCAGATAGGAGGGCTTCAACTTCGCCAAAGCACGTTCGTGCCCACGAGAGGTGACGCGGCTGTTCTGCATCATCGGGGTAAGACATTGCATGCGAACATCCTGGCTTTTGTCGATTCACCATTGGCCAAAGGCTGGGTACAGGTTGATACAGATTGGGAAGTTGATCATCAGATCACTCGGCTTGACCCTCCATTTGTCGTCTTGCTTGGTGAAACCCGCTGCTCTGATGCCGCTCACACCATGAGCAGTAACAGCACCGGTAAACACTGCATGGGCTCGCGAGGTGGTGATTCAGGGTCGCCGTGGGCAGAGCTGCGAGATGATCATTGGGAACTCGTTGGTCCACACATAGGGAGAGCCGTTGCACGACGCCAACGTCCAGACGGGATCGAACTGGGAGAGGTCGCGTATGCAAAAATTTGGGAACATCCGCCAGATGTTGTTCACGGCCTCGGCCACACGGAAGCCGAAACAAGCAGGCGTGCCTGATTATGGAGGGGGAGATCTCGGCCTCGTCTCCGATCCTGCGAGGAGGCGCTCTGGCATTTTGGACGCGTGGTCCCGAGGGTGTTGCAGAGTGATGCAGGACGCGTGCAGCATGGGATGGCCCTGTGGGCAGCTGATGGGGGTCGAGGAGGAAACCCTGAAGTCAACGAATGCATAGAATCAATTTTTTCGCGTCTGACGCAAAGTTGTTGGGGAGGCGTATGGTGCCTCCCCTAACAGTGTCGGGCAGGCGTATGGTGCTCGGGCCTTGAATGTTGGGGGACCTACGGTGCCCCTCCTTGCCCACCCCGTCCCGCACACAGGGACTTCCCCCTCCCAAATGGTGGGTGTGGGAGGGTAGGTGGGAGGATACAGCGAGAATGACGCATGGCGGTGTCGAGAGTGGCAGCGTGAGAAGTGTCAAGCGTCAACTTCGCCATCAGGAGGCTCATGCCAGAGGCACTGTGTGCGAGATGAGGAGATGCAGGACGCGCACTCTTTTGTCTCCTGTGCAGCAGGAGGCAGGAGAGAAGCACGACCGAGAGCACCCCTGCGGACTTCGGCAGGAGGCACGAGCGAGTTCGCGATCAGAGACAGTCGGCTTTTAGGCTCGCTCAGAGGCGCCAGTGGCCACCGCGACCCGGTCGGCGAGTCTCTTCTGGGTCCCGGCAGGGCGCCCGTGATGCCGCGGCTGTTGTCGGATCGGTGCTTCTCGGCCGTGCCGCTGCGCTCCGGCCCGGCCTGCTGCGAGGGAGGCGCAGTGCCGACGCAGTCTCTGCCTTCGACGCTTGCCTGTTCAGTGCCTTTTGCCCTCCCCACTCCCCCTCCTCTTCCCTCTCCCTCCTCCTCCTCCTCCTCCTCCTCCTCCTCCTCCTCCTCCTCCTCCTCCTCTCTCCTCTCCTCTCCTCCATCCTCCTCCTCCTCCTCCTCCTCCTCCTCCTCCTCTCCTTCCTCCCCCCTCCTCTTCCCTCCTCCCACTCCTCTCCCCTCCTCCTGTTTTGGTGGGAATTCCGTGCTGATACGCCCGTAACAAATATCCAAGGGCCAGGCGAGACAATTTTGTTCCAGTCCGAGTGGGGCACTGGGATTCTTCGTAGGGTGTCTTCGGCCTTCGCAGCCGTTATCGAGAGGGGCAGTTACTGTCATCGAGGAGTGATCTTAGTGGGGCGACGGATGACGGCAGGCAATTGCGTAGATCGTTTGAAGTCTCTCATGTTCTCCCGCCTAAGCCCTGGTCGGTGTCTCTCTCTCTCTCTCTCTCTGAATATGTGTCTCTCTGTCTGTCTCTCTGTCGGTCTGTCTGCCTGTTTGCCTGCCTGTCTGGATGTCTCTCTCTCTCTCTCTGTCTCTTTCCGTGTGCATGCGTGTGTGTGTGTGTGTGTGTGTGTGTGTGTGTGTGTGCGTGTGTGCGTGTGTGTGTGTGCGTGTGTGTGTGCGTGTGTGTGTGTGTGTGTGTGTGTGTGTGTGTGTGTGTGTGTGTGTGTGTGCGTGTGTGTATGTGTGTGTGTGTCTTGTATGTGCATGTGCAAGGACAAGCTTTCGCGATGTCCTGCGTCCTCTTGCTTCATTGGCTGTTGAGGCTGGCGAAGAAGCGTCCTGCTCCAGACCTTGAGCTCGCTAACATTCCCCGAACAGTGCTTGCACTTAGGGCTTTTTGTTTGTCTTACCGAGGAATTCGGTGGGTGCGTCGAGGACCCGCCGCGTTCTGGCCCGTTGCCGCCCGCCGCCGCCCGTCGACGCCCGTTGCCGCTTATGTGTGTGCGTCGAGGATTCGCCACGTTCCAGCCCGTTGCCGCCGGTTGCCGCCCAATGCCGCTTGGGTGGGCGCGTCGAGGATTGGCCCCGTTCAGTCCCGCTGCCGCCCGTTGCCGCCTCAGACGCTCCTGCATCCAGAGGGGAGACGCGGAGCGTTAAGAGTACAGAAAGCTGGGTCCCATTTATTAGTGGGACCCAGCTTTCTGTCAGTATTTCTGTGGGCGCGAAGCGTTTCCTCACGGGTTCCACCGCATAGCCTCCAGCACACATTTTCCCCCACACAGTTTCCACCACGTATCTTCCACCACATAGCTTCCACCACATAGCCACGCAGCTTCCACCACATAGCTTCCACCACCAGAGTGCGAGAACTCAGTGTTTGGGGTCCACGCTGTCAAACTTTAACAGCAAACCGTGTGGAGAAGGTTGAGAGTGGGCTCCAGTGTGCTTGTTCCCGTCCCACAAAATGACGCTGAAACCGGGCGGGACCATTGTTTCTATTTCCTCCCGTCGAGCTCACGCGAGTGTCCGTGCTTGTTGTAGCAATACTGCCCGTCTGACCTCCAGGGAGTGGGCTCGGATGATGCTCTACAACGCAACAGACACGGGAATGCCGCAGACACTGCTTTCCTGCTTCCCACCGTTCCTCTTTCCATGATTACACTGCTCCGCCTCCGTCTGTCTTCCTGATTTCCATCCTTTGGCTAGGCCGCCGACGCCTGCTTCGAGGCTACCTCGGCCAGCCAGCTTGCGAGGAAGGGGGACAGGAGGGGTATGCGGGAATAGTCGGAGCAGCGGGGACTGCGGGACGGAGGCAGGGCAGGACAAGCTAAGCGAGAAGGCTGGTGAGGCGTAGGGTTAGGTGGCGAACGAGCAGGTGAAGACCGCCTCCCTGTTGCATCCTTTCTCTTCGGTCAACAGAATTAGCTCATGCATGATCGCCAATGTCGAAGACTGCCCTTCTTGAGATTCCCGCACTCGAGACAACAGGCGTCAGTGCCCACCTCAGGGAAGGTGGGGCAGCATGTAGCCCGGAGAGAGCTGTATGAAGTGGCCCTGGAGCTGGACACCATCATCCGCAATGCTGTAATCACCGCGTGTGAGAGGGGCCTATTTTGGCTGCGCCACGCCCTGTTCCGCTCTGTGGCGGAGGCTGTTCGCTTCGCTGTTTTTTTCCCTTCGCTACGGCGCGGCCCGCCCTAGCTTGCTCGGCGTTCGACTTGGCTTCACGCGCCCGCGCACCAAAAAATATGAGAGGGGCGAAGTTTGGAAGACAGCTCTTTCTTTGCGAAACGAGTCGTGGAAGAGGAAGCTTGAACTAGATATCTTAGGGGGCAGTGCTCAAATTAACGCGTTTGCGCGTGTGGGGCAAGCGCAAAAGGCACTGACATTTTTGTCGAGTTGGTGGGGGCGGTGTCAGACTCAGGCATTGTTACGTATGGCTCTGCAGCGCGTGCATGTGAGACAGCTGGGAAGTGGCATCGGGCATTGTCATTGCTGGGTGACATGTGTGGAGAGAAGCTAGTCACGCATGGCATGCGCTTTCATGTTGACAGCAGGCGCTGTTCATGCTGAGCAGCATTTGCCGAGCTCGACTTGAGTGGCACGTCATCAGCTATTGTGTTGGAATCAGTGCGCGCGAGAAGAGCGGTCAGTTGCAACAAACGTTGTCATTGCTGAGCAAGCTGCCGAAGACGAGGTTTGACATTGATTTTTTTCTTCGCGTGTGTTGCCGCTGTCAGTGCAGGTGGAAAAAAGGCCAGCATTGGCAGGCGACGTTGTCAATGTTGAGGGAGTCACGGGACGCCCGCCTGAAGCCGAATTCCTTCCTATGTAGGAATACCCCTGAAGGCTTTTTGGATGACAGCGCATCGAACTTGCGAGCTTCTTGGCGCTGTCTCGATGGTTACACCTAGGATTGGCCTGGTGCATGGGCCGCCAAAGCGGGTGTCGAGGCCAGGACGTATATTCCCTAATCAAAGCCTGCCCTACAGGGGTTTCCCATGCTCTGAGGCAGTCGTAGGATAACCACCCACATTCAGTGGAACAACGCGTGAAGGTCGCAACACAGGCGGAGTCGGAGGAAAGACAAGCAAGCTCAACCTTCATCAGGGCACGCCTCATCTGAGCGTCCGCACCGTGGCCGACTGGCCGCCAGACTGGTCATGAGCGAGCCGACACGGCATACCTACGACAACACGTCGGTCGGAGTCGCAGCCAGAGTCATTGTAGTGCTGGGGCCGTTGTCGTGTCGGAGCCGTTTCCAAGAGACGCTCGTTTCATGCCGATTTCGGAAACGAAGGGCTGCGTTAAACGAGCCGAATGAGCATACAGAGTTGACATGAGCACGGGACATCGAGAGATTGTTGAGCCCATTTGTCACGACGTCGCAACTAGGGAATTTAAGGACAAGAGCATGTTCGACTATATCATTCTTATGAATGTACTGAGCAAGTCTGAATGTAACCACCCATCGTAGTGGAACAACGCGTGATTGCCGCAACAGAGAGAGAGAGAGAGAGAGAGAGAGAGGGAGAGAGAGAGTCGGATAGGAAAAAACGAGAGCAACCGCAATCGTGCCTGGACCGCGGGCAAGTGGCCTCTTAGAGGCCCCTTTGAGTCTCTTGGGAGGCGTCTTGAAGGCCTCTTGGGGCCTCTTGGGGCCTGCTTGCGTTCTTGGGTGCCATCATGGTGTGGAGGGCTCCACATGTCAGGCGAGCTCACCCTCTGGGGGCCTCTTGGGCCCTTCTTGGGGTCTCGGGGGCCGTCCTGGAGCGATCTTGGTTCCTCTGGGGCCGTCCTGGGCGCTTGGAAGACCGAGAAGCTGAGCGTGCTAACATCACATGCTTGCCTGTGTGGACCCCAAGGGGTAGGTTTTGAACCCTCGATTCCCAAATGTGCGTTCTACTGCAAGCAGTTCATGAAGTGCAGCCTATGTGTCGATGTTGCAAATACACGGTGCAAGCTAGGTGTCTACGTGGTGCAATCTTCGTGGTGCAATGGCTATGATGCAATCTACTTAACAATGAAAGGCATTACACGGCACCGGCCATATATTACCAACCAGAAGACACCAGGGCAAGAACGAGAACATCGCAACCATCAACGACATTATCTAGTGGCCTTCGGCCTACTCAGCTACCGTGCCGGGATTGTGGGTCAGGGTTCTCTTAGCTTCTGTGGGGCCCCTTGGACCTTGGAGGCCTCTTTGAGCCTCTTGGGGGACTCGTGAGGGCTTCTTGGGGGTCTCTTGGAGGCTTCTTGAAGGCCTCATGGACCTTGTTGGGCGCTTCTGAGGGGCTCTTTGGGGCATGTTGGGGTCGTCTTGAATCGTTGGAAGTGCGAAGGTCCGAGAACGACAAAGTTCTTCAACAACTCGAGGGGATCAAGTGCCTCTTCTAGCCATCTTAAAGGTCATGTTGGAGTCCTCTTGGGGCGTCCTGGAAGCCTCTTCGGCCGTCTGGAGGCTCTCTTGGGCCGTCTCGGAGTGCTCTTAGGCTGTATCGGGGCCTGTTGGATTGTTCTGATGCTGTTTTGGAGTCTCCAGGCCTCAGGACAAGTCATGCGACACCACCCCTAGGCGAGAAGCCCAGATTACTTCGGCAACTTGAGGCTTGAGCCCACGAAGTGTGTTGACAAAAAAGTTCAGTGCAGAGAACACGGAGGGGCCTGATGACATTCAATTCTTTGCTTGCTGCACGAGGGCGGATTGGGCCCGCCAGCCGTAGAGCACCACCCACAGAACACCAGGTCAAGAGCGCGAATACTGCAGCCGTCACACGCACCCTGCAGCACCAGCCATAAAGCACCACATGTGAAGCGGCACAGGTCGAAGCGGCTCGTGCCACTCGTTCGGCTTGCTCGGCGAGTTGCGAGGGCGTGACGTGACAAGGGGCTTTCCCTCCAGATCGTGATTCATGATTGCGTGCCTCTCCATCCTCCGCCCCCTACCCTTCCGCCGCCTCCACATCCACCTCTTCATTCGCCAATGCGTCGCGCTGTGTCTGCACAGCTCCTCCATCACATCATCACCACCTCCAGCTCCAATTCCGCCTCAACACCTCCACCACCTCACCTCTCTCCCTGCACTTGTACAACTCTGCTTCAACCACATCCTCCGCCTTCACCTCCACGTCTCTACCTGCAACTCCATCTCCGCCCCCCTCGCTCCACCTACACCGCGCCACATCCCAAATATCGATCAATCCAGCGTTCACGACGCTTGCAAAATCTCCTCGGCGACTCCAGCGAGCCTGCCGCACGCAGTACACCCATGGGCGTATCACGAGAGCGTGATAGCTTACCAGCCTGAAACATACCCCGATCCCTAAGATTGGCATCACCTTATCTCGTGCCGATCTTCAGGGTACCATTTTTTTTCAGGGCGCATCCCTGAGATTGTCATCGCCTTGGGCTTGCCAATCTTAGGGTTAACAGCCGCGAGCAGTGGTTAACAGCCGCGAACACTGTGAAGAAAAGCGATGGGGTCGGTCAACCTTCACACGACCACCAGCTCGGCGATTCCAGTGGGACAATGATGAGAGCAGCGACCCGCCCGACCAACCGACCAGGCCGACCCACCAGACGACACCGACGATGGTCGAGGGAAGAGACACGATGGCCATGACCAAGATATCGCGGAGTCTTGTCGACGCCGATCTTGGGCGTGGTCCATGCCGGCTATCGCCGATTCGCTAGGATGATCCACGAATCGACGATGATCAAGATGCACGCGGACCAGGGTCTACACATTTTTTCGCTTCAGGTCTGGACCATTTTCATCGCTACATGTTCCCCAAGATGGGGTCTTGTGACCCCGAATCAGACGAGGCCGCCGTGACGATGCCGAGCTGTGGTCTGACTTGATCCGCAGAGGCTCACGGAGGGCGGAGTCACGAGTCAATGCTCAGATATGACGCCCCAGGCGTGTTGGAGACGCACAGCATAACAGCTTTGCCGTTGGGCAGCTTTGGCAGGCACCCGCCCCCCCGACGCGCCCGAAATAGCGAGTGCCTGGATGCAGCCCAGATGCGAACAAGACAGAGCAATGCCGCCAGCCAGGGCTGGACCTAAAAGCTGTTTTGCTGGACTTCGGCTGTGTTTTGTTTTTTTTCGTTTTGGCAGGGAGGTACAGGGAAACAGGTAGAGCAAGACGAACAACATAACGAAAACAAAACGAAACACAACGTTTAGGTTCAGCCCAGCCGTCAGCATCATGGGGGAGAACACAGTGTGCGCAGGTTCCTACAATGCTGGCGGGCACCGTGGCAGCACCGACGCCCAGGATGGACCTCAAATAGATATTAACCTGGGTTTATAATGTTCTGGGATTATTGACCAGGGTTCATAATGTCTCGCCCGGAACATTATGAACCTGGGTTTAAATGTTCTTGGAATATTGACTGGGGTTCACAATGTCCCCTCTGAACATTATAAACCCTGGTTTATAATGTTCTGGGGATATCGACCCCAAGAACATATTATCCTGGGTTCATAATGTTCCGGGGATGTTGACTGGGATTTATAATGTCCTGGCAATAATGACCTCGGTTAGGTTGATTATTCCGGAAAGATAATGATTCGGCCAGAGGGGGCCGAGCCCGATCCATTCACAGGACAATAATCCAGAAGGTATCATCTGCAGATAACGAACCTAGGTTTTCATTCCTAGATGATAAACCACGGTCGACGAGGATTTCACACCTACCCTCCCGACGCCGACCTGGAAG